TCCCAGATGACAAGTCCCACATGCAAGCACCGCCCGCTCCGTCAAAGGCCAAACAACGGGACAAGACCACCCAGGACAAGACATAAAAAAACGACGATCCACAGTGTGACAACCAAGAAAAAAAGAGAAGACAATCCCGGATGACGATTCCTGTATATATGTATATATTGTCACACTGTGAATCGGAGCGCAAAGGCGGAAAAAGACAAAACAAGAAAAGGAAAAGAAGGAAGGAAAGCCCCACCTATATATCACCTCTAACGCACAACGCCAGCCACGTGGATGACAACAGAAGGGACATCCAGTAAATTAGGTAACATCGCGTGGACTATTTGTGCAATTAGAGACCACTGTCTTTGCAACGCTTTCTTATCCAGACTCAATCTCATGAGATTGCACTTGCGCGGCTGCCGCTTCGAGGCCCCGGACTTATAGAGGAGCTCTACAAAAAACCCAATTGACTCGGTATTCCTTATATACCATGAAAAGGCCAAGTTGGACGATTCTCAGGGATTACTGATGTGCTTTATTATTCTTTGTCGAACGTAGGTAGGGTGCCTACGGCCGCAGAGAGCATATTCACGCAGGCCAAGGACGATCTTTCTCACAAACGCAACCTGATGCGCTCTTGTTTGCGCGCATCAGGTGGTGGTCCCTTTCTAATGCGCGCAAACAAGAGCGACCAGAAGCCCACTAAGGAGAGGCCTCGATCGTAGTAAGGGACCACCACCTGATCATAGCACCGATCTCAAGGGACCACCATCTGATGATGAAAGCTGGGCGTCTGGGATTGGCCTCGATGGTAAGGGGGGACCACCACCATCATAGCACTAAGGAGAGGCGTAAGGAGTGAATGCGCTCGTCGAGGCCACCCCACACGAGTATGACCTCGACCCGAAGGCTTTTTATATTACCATACGGCCGGATAAGAGAGAGAGCGAGGAGAGAGAGAGAGAGGAGAGAGGAGAGGGAGAGAGAGGGAGGGACGTCGGCAGACCAGGGAGACCGGGAGAATACGGATATCGACTGCGATTCTTCAACACATCCCTCGAGAGCTTGGAAAGCGATCAGAATCAAGATCAGCAAAGGTCGCGCCGCAGGAAGAGCAAAAGGACAGGATTTTGCCGACGCACCCCTTGATAATTGACCACCCACAGCAAGAATAACATAAAGTTATAAAAATAAAAAATAAAAATAAAAATAAAAACAATAAAAATAAAAAACAACAACATAAAGTTTGGAGCGGGAGGATCAGCACAGGTCGCGCAGCAGGAAAAAGCAAAAGGTCAATGTTCGAAACGCAAACATACTGAAGCATGAGACAATGAATAAGTATTTTGTTGACGCATCCCTTGATACAGTAATTGACCACCCACCCACCCACAGCAAGAATAACATGAAGTCCAGAGCGGGTGCGCGAAGAGATGGACGGCACTGGAAGAGCAGAGGAAGGAGGGGGAGAGAGAGAGAGAGAGAGAGAGAGAGAGCAAGGACGAAGACATGAACGACGAGTCACAAGTAGGTCCGGTACGCCGCCGCTTCAAAATAGGTCCGGTATTGTTTTACAATTCTATAAGAACGACTAGATGACCCGTCGCCAACCTCCCTTGCAAGAAAACGGGAGGGAATACCAACGAAGAATTTTACTTTTCTTCTATTGTGAAATCGATAGTTCACCTGTTATACGTGGCGTTCCATAGGAGGGAACGCGATATTTCTTGTGCTGTGTCCTATGACCCGCAAGGTCGCAGTCTGAGAACACTTTCCCCAGGAAATGCTGTCCTGTTGATCTGTTCACTGAGAATTCCACTCCCAGTCTGTTTGCTGTGTTTTCTATGTATGTATGTGATCAGTCAATGTCGTATGCATGTTGTGCTTGCCTGCTGACTCTCTCTCTCTCTCTCTCTCTCTCTCTCTCTCTCTCTCTCTCTCTCTCTCTCTCTCTCTCTCTCT